TACCTGGACTTCCTTGTCCCATGACCATCTTTGGAGTCATTCCGAACCTGCTATTGACTCCCCCAAATTTACAGCATAGAATTCCAGCACACAATCCTCGGCCCAGCACCACACAAGCAGCACCCCAACATCACTAGAACTTTCTGTATTACACCCTGATACAAGCTGCACCCCAACGCAATCAGTACCTTCTACACTCCCCACCACCTTCATTAGAACTTTCTACTCCACACCCCAACGCAATCAGCACCTTCTACACTCCCCACCACCTTCATTAGAACTTTCTACTCCACACCCCAACGCAATCAGTACCTTCTACACAACCCACCACCTTCATTAGAACTTTCTACTCCGCACCCCCCAACGCAATCAGCACCACCTTTAGAACTTTCTACTCCACACCCCAACGCAATCAGTCCCCACCACCACCTCATTAGAACTTTCTACTCCACACCCCAACGCAATCAGTACCTTCTACACTCAACCCACCACCTTCATTAGAACTTTCTACTCCACACCCCACAGCACCTTCTACACTCCCCACCACCTTCATTAGAACTTTCTTCAGCACCTTCTGCACACCCCACTACACAACCCACCACCTTCATTAGAACTTTCTACTCCGCACCCCAACGCAATCAGTACCTTCTACACAACCCAACGAATTTCAGCACCCCAACGCAATCACACCTTCCACCACCTTCATTAGAACTTTCTACTCCACACCCCAACGCAATCAGCACCCCACCACCTTCATTACACACCCCAACGCAATCCACCACCTTCATTAGAACTTTTCTACTCCACACCCCAACGCAATCAGCACCTTCTACACTCCCCACCACCTTCATTAGAACTTTCTACTCCGCACCCCAACGCAATCAGCACCTCCCCACCACCTTCATTAGAACTTCCTCCACACACCAACGCAATCAGCACCTTCATTTCATTAGAACTTTCTACTCCGCACCCCAACGCAATCAGTACCTTCTACACTCCCCACCACCTTCATTAGAACTTTCTACTCCGCACCCCAACGCAATCAGCACCTTCACACTTCATTAGAACTTTCTACTCCGCACCCCAACGCAATCAATCAGCACACTTCTACACTCCGCACCCCACCAATCCACCTTCTACTCTCCCTACCACCTTCATTAGAACTTTCTACTCCCACACCCCAACACAACAAGTACCTACTACTCTGAGCCTCCCCTGCAACGTTAATACCCTCTTCACTGCACCCCAACACAGTTAGTATGTTCTACACTGCACCCCCACTTACCTAATCCCTTCTCCCAAAACCCCAACATAAGTGGTGTCTTCTACACTGCACCTTGATGTACCTACCCCTTTCTAAATCACAACCTGACACAAGTGGTGGTTTGTACACTGCACCCTGACTTACCTACCCCCTCTCCACCACAACTCCACACAAGTTGTATCTTTTGTACTTCCCCCTGACGAACCTACCCCTTCTACCCAAACCTGACACAAGTGGTGTCTTCTACACTGCACCCCAACTTACCTAACCCCTTCTACCCAAACCTGACACAAGTGGTGTCTTCTACACTGCGCCCCAACTTACCTAACCCATTCTACCCAAACCTGACACAAGTGGTGTCTTCTACACTGCACCCCAACTTACCTAACCCCTTCTACCCAAACCTGACACAAGTGGTGTCTTCTACACTGCACCCCAACTTACCTAACCCCTTCTACCCAAACCTGACACAAGTGGTGTCTTCTACACTGCGCCCCAACTTACCTACCCCTTCTACCCAAACCTGACACAAGTGGTGTCTTCTACACTGCGCCCCAACTTACCTACCCCTTCTACCCAAACAAGACACAAGTGGTGTCTTCTACACTGCACCCCAACTTACCTAACCCCTTCTACCCAAACCTGACACAAGTGGTGTCTTCTACACTGCACCCCAACTTACCTAACCCCTTCTACCCAAACCTGACACAAGTGGTGTCTTCTAAACTGCACCCCAACTTACCTACCCCTTCTACCCAAACCTGACACAAGTGGTGTCTTCTACACTGCACCCAACTTACCTAACCCCTTCTACCCAAACCAGACACAAGTGGTGTCTTCTACACTGCACCCCAACTTACCTACCCCTTCTACCCAAACCTGACACAAGTGGTGTCTTCTACACTGCGCCCCAACTTACCTACCCCTTCTACCCAAACCAGACACAAGTGGTGTATTTTACATTGCCCCCCCACAAAACCAGTACCTCCCACTCTGCCCCCACTTAATATAACTAGTACCTCCCACTCTGCCCCCTAATATAACTAGTACCTCCCACTCTGCCCCCTAATATAACTAGTACCTCCCACTCTGCCCCCTAATATAACTAGTACCTCCCACTCTGCCCCCTAATATAACTAGTACCTCCCACTCTGCCCCCTAATATAACTAGTACCTCCCACTCTGCCCCCTAATATAACTAGTACCTCCCACTTGCCCCCTAATATAACTAGTACCTCCCACTCTGCCCCCTAATATAACTAGTACCTCCCACTCTGCCCCCTAATATAACTAGTACCTCCCACTCTGCCCCCTAATATAACTAGTACCTCCCACTCTGCCCCCTAATATAACTAGTACCTCCCACTCTGCCCCCTAATATAACTAGTACCTCCCACTCTGCCCCCTAATATAACTAGTACCTCCCACTCTGCCCCCTAATATAACTAGTACCTCCCACTCTGCCCCCTAATATAACTAGTACCTCCCACTCTGCCCCCTAATATAACTAGTACCTCCACTCTGCCCCCTAATATAACTAGTACCTCCCACTTGCACCCTAATATAACTAGTACCTCCCACTCTGTAATTTAACTAGTACCTCCCACTCTGCGCCCCGACTAGTACCTCCCACTCTGCCCCTAATATAACTAGTACCTCCCACTCTGCTCCCTAATATAACTAGTACCCCCACTGTGCGTAATATAACCGCCCCACTCTGTACCTAATATAACTACCACTCTGCCCCCTAATATAACTAGTACCTCCCACTCTGCACCCCTAATATAACTAGTACCTCCCACTCTGCCCCCTAATATAACTAGTACATTCTCATCACTTCACCTCCCCTAATATAACTAGTACCTCCCACTCTGCACTGTACACCCAGTAAAATAACTAGTACCTCCCACTCTGCTCCCTAATATAAACTGGTAACCGCCATCTTAGCACAACCTTCTACACTTCACTTGATATTTAGTATTTTGTGAACCCGCCCCGACTTACACAGTGTCTCCATTCTGGCACCCCGACTGTGCGTAACCGCCCACCCTGTACCCCCAATACCAACCAGGCTGCCCCAACACAGATATGCACCCCAATACCATGAACCCCAACATGAATGACATTCACATCACTTCACCTCCCCACCTAATCTCAGTGACCCCGGCACTGTCACCCAGTAAAACTAGTGTCCCCAACATTACACCCCAACCTAACTAGTGTCCCCAGCACTACACCCCAACCTAACTAGTGTCCCCAACATTACACCCCAACCTAACTAGTGTCCCCAGCACTACACCCCAACCTAACTAGTGTCCCCAACATTACACCCCAACCTAACTAGTGTCCCCAGCACTACACCCCAACCTAACTAGTGTCCCCAACATTACACCCCAACCTAACTAGTGTCCCCAACATTACACCCCAACCTAACTAGTGTCCCCAGCATTACACCCCAACCTAACTAGTGTCCCCAACATTACACCCAACCTAACTAGTGTCCCCAACATTACACCCCAACCTAACTAGTGTCCCCAGCATTACACCCCAACCTAACTAGTGTCCCCAACATTACACCCCAACCTAACTAGTGTCCCCAGCATTACACCCCAACCTAACTAGTGTCCCCAGCATTACACCCCAACCTAACTAGTGTCCCCAACATTACATCCCAACCTAACTAGTGTCCCCAACATTACACCCCAACCTAACTAGTGTCCCCAACATTACACCCCAACCTAACTAGTGTCCCCAACATTACATCCCAACCTAACTAGTGTCCCCAACATTACACCTGACCATTGCACCGGTATCATTTACCCAGAGTCTGTTTACCTCCCAAAGCCACAATTCTTCCATCGCCCATTACTAGACCATTCTAAGTCTTCTGTCTGAATTCGATGTGTTCCTCAATTAAGGGGCCCCAACATTGTGTTCCCTAACAGTCCAATGTTCTCTCTTACCCAACCAGATACATTGACCTTCTCTCCACCCTGAGGCCTTCTCCACCCTGAGGCCTTCTCCACCCTGAGGCCTTCTCCAGACCTTCTCCACCCTGAGACCTTCTCCACCCTGAGACCTTCTCCACCCTGAGACCCTGAAACCTTCTCCACCCTGAAACCTTCTCCACCCTGAGACCTTCTCCACCCTGAGACCTTCTCCACCCTGAGACAATATCTGGTAACGCTTTGCTACGTTCTGTGCCCCCTTAATTCTGAAGATATAATGTGCTTCTAAGGTCTCCTTCCTCTTCATCCAACCATCCAGGCTGCACTACCTGTGCCCTACAAGAGGTTTCTTGGCACCCCAAACAGTGCAACCGTTCACCCCAAGACCAGTTGTCTTTCTGCACTGCACCAGGAGAAAACTAGTCCTCTCTGAACCATGAGATAACGAGTCCTTCTTGCACTCCATTCCAAGATAACTGGTCCCCTCTGCACTGCACCCCAAGATAAGAAGTACTGTCCATATCACATACACGCCCACATGCGTGTCCCGGGCCCCATTGTATTTTCCCAGCTCTCTCTCTTGCTGATTTCTTGCCTGGAGGTGTGATAGAAACTTTCCTTCTGACAAAGAACAGTCTCGGCTTGTGAACAGTCACGTCTACAGACGGACACACTTCCTTCCCTACAACACCCAGAAATTTCTGCCCCCCAAACCCAGCCAAGAAGTGAGGGAGCCCATACATCCCCAGCCTCCGCTCTGCATCTCATGACTAATGGATCATCTGGAGATGGCTCAAGACACGAGCACCCACCATGAACCCATCAGCTTCGGCATTGATCAGATTCTGAACAGCCCAGAGCAGACTGTAGGGTTCTCATATTCTCGAAGTGGGGAGCAGGAGCACCATGGATCCAGTGCCTACTGCACCATGTACAGCCCCAGAAGCTCTTCCTATAGCCTCAACATGAGGATGGACGTTAGCATGAACGTCAATGTGCGACCGGCAGGAGTTATTAGAGTGCCAGCTCATAGACCTCTTCCGCAGGTGGTGCCTGGCGAGGGGGCTTCACCATTGTCTGGTATTGGGGGGATGAGCAGCCTACCGGGAATCACCTTCCCCTGGATGGAGGGCAGCAGAAGGATGGCCAAGAACCACATCACAGGTAAGGAGGACCCTGGAGGTAGGGGAGGGGGTGAAGGTATATTCTGGGGAACCCAAGTGCCTGAATCTTCCCCATAGATGGGAGGTGGTGGTTGGAAGATCGAACTCATACACCATTGTGACATTTCACATACAGCGCTGCATAACAAGCTGGTTTGGTAGACATAGATGAGCGTGGTTGAGATGACCACAATGAACCCGTCTCCGTTATACCCTGAGTAACTACCTATGTAACTGCCATGTCATGGGGTCACTGCTGTGTGACTGTCCGTGTTCATGGAAAGAAGAGTCACCCTCCACTGACCTGGTCTCAGGAGAATGATAATCATCTGAGAGGATCCAGTCTGAGAAATCGATTCCCTCTCCAAAGATCAGTCAGGAGACTCCTGAGGACGTGGCATTCAGACCACAGACATTATCATTGTCTTCCTATCATTGTCACCCCTTACATTGGTGGTCGGTGGGAAGAATGTTCCTTACATTGGGGATCAGTGGGAAGAATGTCCCTTACATTGGGGGTCGGTGGGAAGAATGTCCCTTACATTGGTGGTCGGTGGGAAGAATGTCCCTTACATTGGTGGTCGGTGGGAAGAATGTCCCTTACCTGATGAGACCGGGCCTAGTGAAGAGGAGGAGGTGGAGGACCTGACTGTGGGTCCCAGCCCTGGTGAGGATGTTGATGTCTTCAGACAGAAGATTACTGATAGATTGGTGACTATTGGAAGAGCTGAGGAGAAAACTTAATGTTTTAAAATCTGAACACAAATCCTTCAGAGCCAAATACTGCCAGGCCTGGAGCAAGAACAGATTGGGCATGAAGCCAGCGCTCTCCAGCACATGGAGGATAAAGTAAGAGACAATCTTTATTATTAGAAAAGTTGAAAGCAAGAAGTGGAGCGTTTAAAGAAAAATTTGATAATGAGAGGAGATTTGCCAGCCAGACATCAGCGAGCTCTGTGGATCAGCAGCCTCAGGTAATGGATGACCCGGCACCATCTACATCAGCGTCTCTCCCCCCATGTCAGGCTGAGGAGTTGTCAGTAGCAACCAGCCAGGGGGTTGAGGGTGAATATGGAACCTTGAAGTTCATCCAGCACATGGAGTCACCCCTGAGAGCAGACAAGTTTGCCTTCACTGATGACCCTGCAGAAGTCCCTGAGGATGGACAGAGGAGGTTCAGAGCAGCAAAGCCAAGACTGGTGGAGAGATCCCAGTATACCAAGATGGCTGCTCCCAGCATGTCTGCCCCACCTGCTGCGGTGAGTACTGTGGATGAGGAGCTCTGCAGGCAGCCTGCTGTGGAGGAATCCTCATCCAACATGGAGGAAAAATCCCTGGCAGAGAGGTCTCCAGACCATCAGGGGAATGTGGGTGAACCTGCACCAAGCACCCCACAGATGGAAATTGCTGCTGCTGTTCCTGCTGAGACCAGTAGTCCCTCTACAGGCAAGATGGCTGCCACCTGCAGAGAGACTGTTTCACCTGAGCTCCCAGGTGCTCCAGAGCTGATTGATGCTGGTGGGGGAGGGGAGCAGCACACTGCACAACATGGAGAGCAAACAGCACACATGGATGTCTCACTTGTTGCTGTGTCTGAGAATCCAATCCTGTCCTGGCTGAATCTTCTTTCTTGGAGCAAGAAATGACTGCTGGAGCTTCTATGGTTGCAGCAGTGAGTGTGGACATTGCTGTGAAGTCTATGACTGTTGAGACTGTAAAGCAATGGATGTGTTGGTGGTGGGTGGAGGTGAAGGGGTTAACATTGCTGACGGAGGTAAAAATGACATTTCTCCCCCTGCTGAGCAGAGAGAGGATACACCATCCAATCCCAGATCTGTGCAATCGGTATCTGCTAGAGTTGCACCAGATGCTCCTAGACATACAAATGTTTTGCTGCTGGGAGGATTGGGGGGAGCTATGCCTCTGTTTTGGGGAGTCGCACCAAGGGGGGTGGGGGTAGTGTTGGGAATGCTAATGGTCACAATTTGGGGAGGTTTGGTGGTGGGATGGTTGGTGGGGTCAGGAGAAGGAATGTGGTACAGTTGAAGTGGGAGGGGGAAGGGAACCCACCAGTAAGGGGGAGGGTGGCGGAGTTGATTCTAGAGATGGGGTTTAAAGCCTGTGATGTGTTTGCGTTGATCTGCCCAGTAGGCAGCTATGAATACGATTTGTCATTTGTAAAACCTGAAGGCCTGGACCTGTTTTGGGAGAGATATTGGAGGTGCAGGAGCCTTCAGCAGTGGAGAGGTTTGGTGGCAAAGGTTGTTTCCAGACAGCCTTTGATAAATCGGTGACAATCCTGGTCCGGAATGAATCTATACCAGAGGCTGATTTAGTAGTTTGGCTACGCCGACATGGTGAGGTCCTCACCCCACTGCGGAAGGTCCTGGATGAGCATAGGATATGGACAGGGGCCTGGACGGTGTCAGTGCAATTGAGGGTGCTGGGCAATGTGGTTCAGCATCTTCCCTGCTCAGCCTTTCTGGGGAGAGATAGGCTGACCATTTTTCTATCAAGGTCAGCCTAAAGTTTGTAACAAATGCGGAGAGAAAGGCCATTTTGCATCGTCCTGCACCATCAAGAAGTGCTCACTGTGCCAGGATTTTGGCCATTTGGCCAAAGAATGCACCGAGATTCGGTGTAATTTGTGCCAGCAGCTGGGTCATCCATACAGTCTGTGCCCAGAGGCACTACACAACCTGCCAGGACTGGAGGCTGAGCTGCAGAGGCTGGATAAAGAGGATGAGGCAGCTGATACTAGGGAGGAAACTGTAGTTGCCCCTCCTGTGTCTGTTCCCTCTGTTGTGTCAGATTGTGTTTCCCCAGTAATGTCACCCCTGAGTCTGTCCCTCCTGTCCCTAATCCTACAGTACGTAGATCCTCCAGACTGGCGGAAGCTGCTGGGGGGGCTGGTTTAGCGGATCTTCCCTCTCGGCCTACTCCACCTCCGGTACCTGTCCCCCGTCAGCGCAAACGTGGTCAGGAGGTTGTGGGGATGCCGGATGGGGGTGGAGCCGATGGGGCTCAGGGAGGGGTATCCATGTCCCATGTCTCACCTCCTGCTGGGGGGGATTCGGCTGATGAGGGGTGGGAGAGGGTGAAGGAGAAGAGGAAGAAGAAGAAAAGGAGGATGAGAAGAGCTGTCCTCTCTTCCTCAGAATCAGATCCAGGAGGGGTCCCTCTTGGCAATACTTTTTCAGTTTTGTCAGGTGATGAGATGGTATCGGATATATCCATTTCTCTATCATCTATGGATGAGGGGGAGTCACATACTCTGAAGAGAGCTGTTTCGGGTGATGAGAGTGTGGTAGAGGTTAAGAAACAACTACCCCAATCATCCTGATGGCAGTTCCCACTCTGTTAAAGGTGGCGACCATTAATGTCGCCAGCATTAAATCTGCAAGAGCTCGTGATACGGCCTTATTTTTGCTCAGCGAGTTTGATGCTGAGATTTTATTTTTGCAAGAGACCTGGCTCAATACAATTGGCCGATGTCTATCTAGCAAAAAGGGGAGTGGAGATGTGGTCCCTCCTTTTGGTCTCTTGCGGCTGAACCTTGCAGCGGAGTTGCGGTCCTTTTTAAAACCGATATGGTAACGTGCCGGCGGGTAATTGAGGTAGAAATGGGGAGATGCATGGTCTTAGATGTCTCTGTTAGGGGGGCAGGACCTGCGCCTGATCAATATCTATGGTCCCCAGTCAAAATGGGGCAGGAAATGCCTCCTCACAAAGATCAAGCCCTTCCTTTTTACGTCCCAGCAGGTTGTCTTTGGAGGTGACTTTAACACCATAATTAGGCCTGAAGACAGGAGAGGCTCCATAGACAGGCTGGGTTATGATAGCGTTTTTCTCAGAGATTTGGTTTAGACAGGCAGGCCTGGTAGATGTGCACATTAAGCACTGCCCTGGCAGCACGGGGTTCTACATTTCAGAGAGGGAATAGTCATAGCAGGATAGACAGGTTTTTTTTAAAGGAGAACTCTGCTTTCTCAGCTCCTGAGTTGAAGGCGGTGGAGTTCTCTGACCACTGTATGCTGTCTGTGACTCTGAATGCCTCGGACACTCCACCCAGGGGAAGGGGTGTCTGGAAACTGAATTCGGCTCTCCTGGAAGATGTAGAGGTAAGAACAATCCTTTGAGGATTTTTTTCAGGCACAGGTTTCTATTCTGGATTTTTTGCAGCAGTAAGTCAGAGTGGTGGGAGCTTGTGAAACAAAGGGCGATTGGACTTTTCAAGGCCATAAGTAAGAAGAAGCAGCTTGGTATGTATATTGCCTACCAGCATTTTGCGGAGGAAGCTTGATCGTCTTGTCTCGTATGGAGGAGATCCAGGGGAGATCTCTGAAGTGAAGCTTCTTCTTAGGAAGTGTCAATACGACCGGCATGCCTCCTTGGTTCTGGAGAGGGATTATGGGAAATATCACTCACCTGATCCTTACCAGAACTGTAAGCAAGGCATAGCAGTTAAGACGGTCATTGGCCTGAAAGACAGTACGGGTTCCCTGATAAAGTCCAGATCAGGGATCTTGGAGATCTTTGGGTCGTATTATGCAGACCTCCTGGGAAGAAAGGACCTTAGCCGGGACAGGATGGAAAGCTTTCTGGATTCTACTCCAGGATTGGGAAATGGTGCATTGCTTTTGATGAATTTGACAGAACCAATTTTCAGCGGATGAGGTAGTTCATGCTATAGACAAGCTGGCTACCAAAAAATCGCCTGGGCCAGATGGATTGACAGCTGAATTTACAAGTGTTTTAAGTCCATTCTGGCTCCCTTTTTAGCGGAGGCTTTTAACAGCTGTCTAGAAGAGGGTTCGCTCCCTCCCTCCATGAGGCAATCTGCTGTGATTCTTCTGTCAAAAGGTAAAGACCCCTCAATGATTGAGAACTGGCGCCCATCAGTCTTCTCAATGTTGATAGAAAGATCTTGGCAAAGATTATTTTTTGGCGCTTGTCGTCAGTAGCAGGCGATTTGTTGTCCAGCCATCAGCACTGTTCGGT